TTTGGTTAGTCTTTGTACTTTTTCTGAGTTTTCTTAGAATTCCATTTTAATGGGTAGATTAAATTCCTTGGACGAAGATTTGAGCTAGTTGTATGAAAAAAAAAGGAAATCATCGACTAGTTTATGTTTCTGTTAGTGTTGAATTATTTAATCACAATCTTTGTATTGTGTAGAGTATAAATTACTACGATTGAAGGGATTCATGGAAATCATTGATTTAGTCATTGAACTTCAATACAAATTACTATGATTCAAGGGATTCATGGGAATCATTGATTTAGTCATTGAACTTCAATACAAATGCTTTCTTGATTCTAACAAGGCTTGGAGTATTAGAACAAGATAATTCGAAGCCCATCTATTCTTTTCCTGAATGGAGCAAGGGAGATTTGAACTTATTTTTGGCTTTAAGATAGTAAAAGAACTTGATGTTAATCATGTTCTTTTGAAACTGAAGAATAGTAAATTAGTAATTGGTGAAGCAGTCTTTCAGTCTGATGTATTGCTCTGATTCTGAATGGCGATTTGATTGTTAAACACATCAAAACTAAAGAATTGTTGGGTATCCTTCAACGTTAGGAATTAATATTGGTTAGTGGGTGTCACTGCCTTCTATCTAAAATATCAGCATTGTGGTTTATCATGAATCCTGTTTATGTTGTAGTTATGTATGATAGGTTGATCTAAATGCAAGTACTAACTTTTCCCGGGTCTGTGTACAACGATGGTGAGGCACAAGGATATCCAATGAGACATGGTACTTTTAAGTCTGAGATGTGCTGTTATGAAGCCATTATTAGGAAGTACAAGATAGTTTCTAAAAGGGATTTATCTTTTGAGCCTTGATTTAGAAGTTGTAATTTGTAAAACCACATTAGAATGGATTTAGTGGTGTTAAACACTTGATGAATTCTCTACATACAAATTTTAAATCTTCACGTTTCATGTATTATCAACGTGTTTGTTCAAAGATAAGTCGAGCATGAAAGATTGAGCGTTCTTCACAGTTTACAGAAATCTGTCCCATATTTGCTCTTGCAACATGAAGAACATTCCTTGAATTATAATTGTTAGACTTATGATTTATGAACAAGCAGATCAGGGATAACAACTTAAATAGAGACTTGTAGTTTAAATCCACGGTCTCTAAATAAGGTTCTTGGAAGTTGAGAATGGTTTTAATTTGGAAAGCATAATCTCACTCATGATTATGCCTTTTTAAACCAAAAGTCTCCCGAGTGGCTTAGTTTATTCATAACCCTCTTTTCTTGATTGCTAAAGAACTCTCTGGCTAAAAACTATAGAAATTATTAAGAACCTAATCTCTTAAGTAATATAAATTTAGTCTTGGGCAAACACATCATTGGCCCGATACATAAGATCTCCGCCACTACGTATATGACTGATTTGGTATACCCGGTTGTGGTTGGGTTCGCCAATGCTAATATAAATTCCAAATAAACATTTTTCCTGCAGTTGGATGATATGTATAAATGGCGACACTACGTTCTTTTGCAGTTGGAACAGGCAATTGTACAATAAATTGTTGATTTATATTATGGGCTGGGTGAATGCAGCCAACAATTAGTGTTTATAAAATTGAATAAAAGATCTTGGGAATTAGAATCTTAAGAATCCATCATTCACACATGATAACCAAACTTTATACCTTCTCTTGTTTCTTAATTATAAAATCCCTTAACTTCTATCATTCATTTTTAAACTAAAAGTTGCTATCTTAAAATCAGGGAATGTATACAATTTATCTATGATATTGGTCTGCATTATGGTCTTTTATAGGAGAAAATCTGGTCATTTCTGAAGAGAGAAGGAGTGTGGAGATTGGATAAATTACGGCAGAAACAGTAAAATTTACCTGAAGGTCTTAAATTTCTAGAGAGAATGAAGAGAGAGTTTCATTCTGAGGAAGTATGTATCTTTTATTTTGGTAGAATTGTGGTTACATGTACCAGGGGAATGCTCTTCATTTAAATAGATGGGATAGTGGTTGGCATGAATTACAAAGTATACCTGTGCCTTGTCGTCAAAATTTTAAATTACCTAATCTTTATTTTCTATTGACTACAGTAATTATTCTTTATCATTTGGGTAAAAACCACTCAATTAAGAATGTTATAACATGTAAATAGGCCCTCCTTCTCAAAATGGTTGATGTTATTTATTTTTTAATTTTCCTCAGGGCGTGGGGTGAAGGTTGGGGACCAAATAATATATTGATGTTATGTGGATGTACAAGCTTCTATGCCTTTTTAGTTCTAGTGATTAAAGAGTGTTATTACCCTATCCTTTAAAAATATACTCTTTTTTTTTTCTTTTTCTTTTGAGTTAGAAAACTTAATTTTTCTAAAACAAGATAACTAATAAGTATTTCCTGGACTGTGCTCAACGCTTTGTTGTAGAACTTCTCTTTGAAAAAATGGAAGATTGTTTCTTGTCCTTTTCGACTCTCTTGATTTAGGGCTCAGTCAGGGGTTGACAGGTGAATATCAATTGGTGGGCATAAGCTTTTCTACGTGCCTCCTACTAAAATTGAACTTCCTCTGTATTATCAGTTATCACCTATGTTGCATGACACGACACGGGGAAACACTATTTCTGAAAAAAGTAGGACACGAAACACTGCAAAAATGTTATATTAAAATTATTAATTTAATTTAATAAATTCAACATTCAACTTCCAAGAACTCTATAATATAAATTAAATAATAAAAATTCCACAATCTATCTAATTTAAATAAGATCTTGACATAAAATCATTGTCATCTCAAAAGTTAAAACAATTATTGATAATGCATCAATACTCAAACTAAAAAAAATTCATAAGTTCTCAAATCAAATTGCTTCAGTTGCATCATTACCACCAATATCCATAACCCTGTCACCAGCATCATTGAATAACATGGCCTCCATATCTGATTCATCTAAAGAAAGATTTGTAATATCAAGCATTCCAATATCTTCAAAAGAGTCAAATTGATTTTCAGCTATATACCACATTTTAGTTTTCTCGACATAGTATCATTAGCTTCTTCTTGATAATAGATACCAATTGTTGGCACGTTTTGGAGTGAACCTAATTCTCTTCATTGAATGAACAAAAGAATATGTATTAAAAAGAACTAGGTTGTCTAAGTAACTTAAAAGCTACACTCTGAAGTAAAGGTACACTTGAACCCTGAGTAGCCCACCAACTTTTTGCATCCATAATGTCCCTATTCAATTAAAATCACATAAAACTTAAGTGAAGCAATTTTAAAGTACTGATTAAATAGTTACATATTAAAATAGAAACAAGCAAATATAAATATGTTTTTAAAAAATTATTTTTGAAATTTACCAATCCGTAAGGGAATCAAAATCTGCAAATTCTCCCGCTTTGAGTGAAAATTAGCAAATTCCGTTTTAACTTTTACGAAATCTTCTTGATTAGAAAAGAGCCTTTTGAACCACCTCGCCCTTTCATTAGAGATTTCAGAATCTTTATGTGGAGTAACTCTTCGTGGGTCTTCCTCAAGCCATATATAGTTGTATTACTTTAAAAGAAGAAACTGATATATTAGTTTAAAAAAAATAACTAACATAGAATTAATTACTTTATAAGTTAAGTATTACCTCGTATTCAAGGAATGAACCAAATAATGAAGTGGCGTGTTATTCTTGGTCCAACGATCGATAAGTATGTCATAAACCACATCAAAGAAAGCATATGACTAATTCAAGCGTCTGCCTTTGTGCTTGAAAATTGGATAAAGGCGGCATACTATTTAGAAAATTTAGGTTTATGTTAAAATCTAGTATTATAATCTTTTATATAATAAATAATGTAACGACCTAGCCTATATGCTCGAGCCTTTATATCATGTGCTGCCCTCTTTGTGTGGGCATCTACCCATTTAACCCCTCACCAATTTCTATCGCGTCCTCTAGAATTCAAACTCAGGACCTCTTCCTAATGAGAGGGTACCATGATTCAACTTAAACCTTATTAGGTAGAGATCCTAGATTCGAATCCTGGGGGACGCGATAAAAATCCGTTAGGGGGTTAAAGTGGACAGTATATATGATATAATGGCTCGGACATAAAGGCCGGGTCGTTAAAAAAACCCAATGACCTCTGCCTAATGTGAGACTTAAGTTGAATCTTAGTACCAATTGGGCAACCAAACTGTAACATCCCCAAATCTAGAAGTGTTATCACTTCATTTCTCTTTTTAAGATCATAAATGTCGAAAACAACTAAATTTTTCTTTGACATAATAATTAGCAATGACTTATTATTTTAAAATAATTTGTGATCAACAAAATGTAAAGCAATTAAATCGAAATTCTAAGTTAGCCCATATTATTTTCGATCAATTTAGTCACGTGAATTATCAAACGATTCAAAATTGATCGAAAAGGGTTTGTTGATAAAAAAATTGGTTAATTAACACTTATGTGAATGGAAACCCGTCCAGAGGTTTTTTTTTGATACACACTTAAAGGTTTGAGATGTAGATGCTAAGATTAAAAGTTTTAAAATCTGGTGAAATATTTTTAAAAATTTTTCGACGTTTGCTACAAATTTTCCTTAGCCGTTCGATGGCCATTATTTTAAGAAAATGGAATTTTGAATGTGATTTATTGAAGAATGTGTGGTCAAGAAGTAGGAAAAAAATTTGAATTACATGCAAAAATTTTTATTGTATAAATGTGTGGTTGAAAATGAGTATGAAAATTAAACAGTTTGAAACAATGGTCGTTAAACATAGGCTTAATTTTATGGAGAAACTCTAAATTGTTTTGCACATCCTAAAATCGTTGAATGAATAGGTTTGAAACACCGGCCATATAAGCGACTTTATTCAAATTTGAGAAGGTTGGAGAAAAACGGAGACAGGAGGAATCGTACCCTAACTCCGTTCATTGACGCTTGATCTCGTGCAACGAATTCTTCCTCTCCCTAAAACTTGCGACAGAATTAAGAAAATCGGGCGAAAATGTCGATTATGCTAGTGACGAGCTTGGGAGACATAGTGATGGACTTATACACAGATCGCTGCCCCTTGACCTGCAAAAATTTTCTCAAGCTTTGCAAGTAAGTATACTCATTTAAAGAGTTTATACACATTAATTTATTCTGTAATTATATTTATTTATTTTGTATTTGTACCCTTGAAATTTTTGAATCTTTTTTTTTTCCCAAAATTTTCTTCTCAAACATTTGCAATGCTTTCTCAATTTCAGTTATATAATCGAGTCTACTGCTATGCAAAAGTTATTTAGAGCTTGTTTGTAAGGGATTAAAATCAGATTAAAATTGAAAATATAGCCGTTGGAGTTGACTTTTATTAGACGAGTGGGACCCAATAACAGCTATATTTTCAATTTTAATTGGATTTTAATCATTCCCAAACAAGCTTTTAAACTATGGCTGAATACCTTTATTAGGCTCTGTAAATTCTACCTGAATTTTGCTGTCGCAATAACAAATATTTGTTACCATATTCAATTATATTTAACTATTTATGTACATGTTTGCTGTAGTCAAATTAGTTGGAATTATCAATGAATATATACGTGGAGCTCTGATTTGTTTGAACAAAATCTACTCAAGGAAGCACATTTAGCCGAATATTTGATCTTCTATTGTATATTCCCTGCTTTTTTTTGCTGATAATAAAATTTATTTGCTGCATATTAATACATCCGTTTTTTTTTCCCTGATGCAGGATTAAGTATTACAATGGCTGCCTTTTTCACACTGTACAAAAAGATTTCACTGCCCAGACAGGTGATCCTACTGGAACAGGATCAGGCGGTGATTCTGTATACAAGTAAGAAAGTTTGCTCTAGTTGATCACTATTGTTAAAACCCCCACTTTTTATTGTATATATTTTTTGTTGATTCTTTCTCATGTAGCATTGTAAAAGCTGTTCCAAAAGGTGCTTCAGTTTTTCCATTGTTTACATATTTTCTTAACATTCAACTCGAGTTCCAAAGCAATAACATTTCATGATCTGCAATTTTCAGATTCCTGTATGGTGATCAGGCTCGCTTTTTCGGGGATGAAATCCATTTGGATGTAAAACATTCAAAGATTGGTACTGTTGCGATGGCTAGTGCTGGAGAAAATCTTTATGCATCCCAGGTACAGTATCCTTTCCATATTCGGTATTCTACTTGAGAAAATTTCAAGTGTTCCCTCCCTTCTCTTGATCTATATTAGGAATAAAACTATCTGCATCTTATATGCCTTATGGACGCACCTTTCTCCTTTCAGTTCTACATCACACTGCGTGATGATCTCGAGTATCTTGATGGAAAGCACACTGTAAGTTTTCTAATCTAGAACTTTTTTGCTATAGTATTCATTTTCTTTGAGTCTTTTTTGCTCACTGAATACAAGATGCTCCCCCCACCTCCACCCAAAAAAATAAAAAAATAAAAGAGGAATAGAAGATGCCTATTTTACTGGCTTTACTTGCAGGATGAACTTGATTTGTTCTTCTCAAGTCATGATAAGTACATTCTCTATTATCTCTTCTGTTACTTTGTGAGAGAACCATTTTAGGTTGAGCTTCAAATTATTTACCTTCGAATAAGACGAATATGTTATGTTCCTACCCCTCCTATAAAGAACGAAAAAAGAAGAAAAGAAAGGTGTGCAGTATATTGATTTTTTTTTTTATACTTTAGGCATTTAGAATTTTGTTTGCTTGCCTGACAAGAGGAAGGGGTAGTTAGCCAATGTGGGATGCAACAACTTGGTTGCTTTTTTCTGATTTATTATTTATCACATGATGCATTTTTGTCCAAAATTTCTTCCAGCCTTTTGGAATAACACAATTTTGATTTGAATCGCCAGGTATTTGGGGAGGTTGCAGAAGGTCTAGATACGCTTACCAGAATAAACGAAGCCTATGTGGATGCAAAGGGCAGGCCTTACAAAAATATTAGGTCGCCTTTTACCCTTTATATTTATTGCTTTATTCCTTCAATGTTATACAGTAAGCTGTGCATATTATTTCAGCATTTTTCTCTTCTAACCATTAAATTTGATGTTTCACATAGAATCAAGCACACATACATATTGGACGATCCTTTTGAAGATCCTTCCCAACTAGCTGAGTTGATTCCTGATGCTTCACCTGAAGGAAAACCAAAAGATGAGGTAATAATTCACTAAAATTTCTGCTTATAAATTAAAATCACTGACATTATACAGTCTAGAATGTATTTTCCATGTTTTACCCTTGTAGATTTATGGTTTGGAAATGTCTGGGAAGAGGCTCTCATATTTTGGGTAATGTTATTAGTGTAAAGGTCACGTAGGATGCAATTGAACCAAACATTAGAATTATACGAAAAGGGGAAAGGAAGAGAAGAAGAGAAAGGAGGGGGACAAATAAGAAGAGGGAAAGATAAAAAGAAAAGATGAATTAGACAGACGGAAGATAAATTGGGGGAGAGAGTATCAATTTTTAGAGGGTGTTTAGTGGAGATTAAAATTTGATTTTTAGTAGATTGTGATAGAAGTTTTTGAAATGTGTGGTTGAAAAGTTGTGGGACCCATGAAAGATGTGATTAATATTGATTGTTTGACTTTGACTTAAATTAAAATCAGATTTTAATCCATACCAAACATGGGCTTATTATGTCAAAGTTGTATCTATTACAATACATAAGCCCCCTTTATATAGAGTTTCAAAGATTATATTCTAAGTAGGAAACATCTAATAAAATCTATTAAATCAAACCCTAATTGTATTTTCTAAAATAAGCATCAAAATTGGAAGCCGAATTAAATAATATATTTATTAATATTCCCATCATTTCTCCCCGGCTGAGAGAACTCGCTTCCAGCTATTTAGGTTACAACTTCTTAACCAAGGAGGATAATCTTTCTTCTTAACCAAATAATAATATTGATCGTATGTCGACAATCAAATCTGAAAATATTCCTAAGTATCGGATTTGATCAAAGGGGATTATCTTTCCTTTTAATCAATTAGCGACAAAGAACTCTAAGAAGCAACAACCTATGCAACTCATTCACAAAACTACCACAAAAATTTACACTACGAGCACAATGTACTAGCATAGTAGATTGACGTGCAGAAACAAATGATTGCAATAACGATGACTCAATTGTGTCCCGATGAGGAAACTATTCTACTCATTGAAACTAAAACATTCTTATAAGTGCAATGGCCAATCGAATAGATTAATTTCAAGTGAGTAATTCAAAAACTTTTTCTTTATAAGTTTAGGTGGCACCGCTATAGGTAAGTCCTTAGTTGTAGCTGTGTCATGGTCAATTATGCCGAAACTCTCACCATCGCTATCAGAATATTCAATAGGCTTAACTAAAAAACCTCATATTCATCCTCATGATGAGGTAGACTCGGAAAGTGTCTCTCGAGATTGGGGTGAAAGACCTAGCTTATGACGAAAATGGAAGGATGTCCCATAAGTGGCTTGTCGGTAAGCTTCATTTAAAGAGTGAGGAGCAAGAATATTGTGGCACATGATTTCAGATTCGTACCATTGAGAAACCTAGACGCTGTGATGTTGGAAGTTTCATTAATATCATAATTGTGCAATCTCTTTGAAATGAGCTAGATAATCGCTAACAGTTGATTACCTTGCCTAAAGTGTAAAAAGAATTGATCTAGTAAATGATTTCGGTAATGTACAAGGGTGTATTTATTACTTAATACTCATTTTATCTCATCCCACAAAGTGATAAGATGTTGACCTAGGCGATCAATGTCACGCAAAAGTGACTTCTAATAACACCTAGCAAATTTGACAAGTTACATATTAGCATGAAAAATACAATGGGAATCGCTCAATTTATGAAAGTAAAGCACTTTTTAAGATTATTATTGATCCAATCAAGAAATGACTCGGACCAGTAGGACTGTCAAAATCCCGTGGTTGTAATGTAACTTGCCTATAAGAATAATGAATGTAAGCGACAAAATCCCTAGATGGGAATAATTGTATTGATGAGGGGAAAGAGAAGGTACACTATCGTGATAGCGACCTAGGGACATGGTGTAGCTATAAGAATTGTTATACGAATTCATGTGTTACACGACATTTTTTTTATTTTTTTAAAATTGACAAACTAGAGCATCAAATTAAAAGCATGTTTTTAACATAAAAGAAATTGGCATTTCATGAGACTTAGAATAGCCAAACGGTGTCGTAGTCATCATCTTCAAGCTGATTGAATTGACTTCTCCTGAGCGACCGATTCAATTCATGGGAGCAAAACAGATCACGAGTCCTGCAAATATTAGTCATTTTGTTCTTTTTTTTTTTTTTTTACTCAAGACTCATTCTCGAATTTTTTTGAACTAAAAGCTATAATGAAAGAGCTAATTTAATTCAAAAATTTGTTTAACGATGGACAATAGCAATGAAAAAAAAAAAAAGAAAAAAATTTGCGGATGAAGAGTACTTGTGAACAATAACCTTTATTTAAAAAAAAACTAATTAAGAACAATCTGCAAAATAAAGAAACAGAAACAAAGTTTTTCGCCTTATTATTTCTTCTTTTCAGTTGTGGTGGTGGTTGGGGGAATTTTTGGGTGGTTGAAAGTGGCTATGAATGTGGGTGTATAAGTTTTGCATTTGAACATGAAATTTATTTAGTCAAAGAAAAACGACTTGCTCAGATACGAAATTGATGTAGGATGCAATCAAATAAAATAGTAGAATTATAGGAGAAGGGTAAACGGAAGATAAGAGAAAGGAGGGGAAAAAAGAGAAGAGGTGGAGATAGGAGGAGGGAAACATCTATTCTAAGTAGAAAGCATCTAATAAAATCTATTAAATCAACCCAAATAATGTTTTATAAAATAAGGATAAAAATTGGAAATTAAATTAAATAATATCTCTACTAATATTCCCATCGAGAGGATTTTTAAAGACATAGGTAATGACCAAGGATCGTACTGTTCGATTTTTTGAGAAACAAGCTTTTGATTTTTCGACACAATTCTGGACATCACTTGCTAGTGGTTCCAAATTTCCCAGTTTTGAATGCATGTTAATCCTGCTTCCATCAATTTTTTATTTTTTTTATTTTCTTTTTTCCTGGACAGAGTTAAGGTTCTTTCTAATTTCCTGCTGAAAATAGCAAGTCAAGCCTTTACTTTAATGTTCAGCAGAGAATTGTTGTAAGTTCTTAGTCAACAGGTAGAATTTGTCTGATATATGCTGTGTGTCTGCACCAGTGGGATGTATGTGTATGTTTATGTAATTTTTCTTGTTACTTTCAAGTTAACCTTTATCCCCTTGTTTTCCTACCTCTACATGTCATTACTTTATTAATGCACTAACAAGTTACTGTTATGGCTAACTTCTTTTTATTGGGCCATTTATTATCTAGTGGGCTTGTATTAGGTGGGCTAGCCCAAAGCCCAGTTTTGTTCCATATAGGTTGAAGTTGGACGATGACTTGGGGGTGATTTGACGAATTGAATCGTGGTTTCCTCTCCAGTCTTCTGCCCTCTTCTTCCTCTTCTCCTCCTGCTCTCTGCTTTCTTCCTCTTCACCGTCTTCTTCCCGGTTTCTCCAGCTTTCTCCTTCTTCTCTGTTCTTCTTCTTCTCTCTCTCTCTGTCTTCTCTCTTCCTCATCTTTTCTTATCTTTTTCTTACCTCTTCTGTAATTCAATTCCATTGTTATTGAATATTAAAGTTCAGTGCATTTGCAAATTGTTGAATTTTAATAGTAGAAATTGTGTTTGTTGGAATTGGCTGATTTGAGGTTGAGGCTTTAACTCAACCATAACAGTTACTGAGAGACACTATGTTAGGCGAATTTTGACAAACATGTTTTGTAATTGCTCTTTAATTCAGGTTGATGATGATGTGCGACTGGAAGATGATTGGGTCCCCATGGACGAGCAACTTGGTCCACAAGAGCTTGAGGAAGCATTGCGCTCAAAGGCTGCTCATTCGAGTGCAGTAGTACTTGAAAGTGTAAGGAGTTCATTCATTATGAGTACATCAACATTTTGATGACAATCTGAAATTTTTGCTTAGTTGCGCTCTTACCTTACAAAGTAAAAATTGGCTAACACGTGTCACAGATAGGAGACATTCCTGATGCTGAAATGAAACCTCCTGACAGTGTGCTGTTTGTATGTAAACTAAATCCTGTAACTGAAGTAAGTCTTTAATTTCATTCTCAATCTGTATTTTTTTTTAAAATCCTTCTTGGACTTTTTCAAAGGATGTTATAAAATTAGTCTTTCTCTTCAGGATGTTCCGTTACCTACTGTTTACTTGTATGTGTAGGATGAGGACTTGCACACAATATTTTCACGCTTTGGAACTGTGACTTCGTGAGTTTTTTCAAATAATCAGGCATTTTCAATCCTTATTTTTCCTTTGATTTATAATTTATATTTTTTTCTGATGGCCAACTAAAATTTGCAGTGCAGAAGTTATCCGAGATTACAAAACAGGAGATAGTTTGTGCTATGCTTTTATTGGTACACGTATTCTTATTTCATATTTACCTTTAATTTCCTTGTCTATCATATCTGTGAGAAGGGATTACTTTCAAATTTCCCTGTTGATGTCTCTAGTGGTGTTTGTTAAATTATACACTAGTTTCGTTGTGTGATTATTCATTTACCTTGTCATACGTGAAGAAGAATAATTCTAGCTTGGGATGTTTGCTTGCTTCATGAACATTCATCATCAGGCTATTTTGTGAATATTTATATCTGTTAATGGCCCTATAAAAACAATGAACTTCCTCCAATTCTATTCATCAGGCTAAATAGGTAGCTTACAATTTAATGCGCGCGATTGAATTTGAATAGACTTGCTTTATTTCTATGACTGCAAGTTTAGGTCCTTGTGTGGTTTTCTTTTGCTATTAAGGTTTTATAAGCCAGTTTAGATCAAGTGGCAACATGAATTAATTTCACCATTTAGGTAGCTTGCAATTTAATGCACGTGATTGAATTTGAATAAACTTGCTTTATTTCTATGACTGCAAGTTTAGGTCCTTGTGGGGATTTCTTTTGCTATTAAGGTCTTATAAGCCAGTTTAGATCAAGTGGCAACATGAATTAATTTCACCATTTAGGCCTTGATAATTCTTTCAAGTGAAGAAAGGGGAGGATAATGTTTAGGAATAGAGGGATAATATGATGATCCTCTCCAAACATCCCTATTTGTTCTGTCCTTCCTCCCAAACAAAATTCAACCTTTGGAGAAATATTATCATTATTCTATTTTCCCTCCAGCTTTACACCTTGACCTGGTTCTGTATGGCTTTTGACTCGTTGATGGCCTGTTCCTTTTGTTTATTTTTGCAGTCTTATTTTACATCTGATAATTCTTACATCTGTTTCTTTATATCAGAATTTGAGGACAAAGAAGCCTGTGAACAGGCATATTTTAAGGTATACAGAATAACTTACTGCTGTCGTTTTTGTTTGCATGAGCAACTCTGTCTTCCAACTGCTTTGCCTGATATTTCTTATCCATATAACTAGTTCCACCTTAGTGTACCTATCTTGATTGATTGTCAGCTAGGATTGATCTAATTCATGCTTCCATGACCTGTGCAAAGTTAATTTTGTTTTAGTTCAAAGTTAATTTTAACAATGTAAATTTAAGACAATCTTAACAAGATAAATATTTTTAGAGGGCGTGAAGTGAAGCTTATGCGATTTCTGATGTTTTCCCTCAGAAGTTCACTTATCTGCCGAAGTAATTTTTTATCTTTTAGAGCGTCAAGTGTTGCGTAACCACGATTTTGGATATTTTGATACTAAGTTCATGATTAAGCCCCATTCTTCAAAACTCATTTTCCCCGAACTCATTTTGAACCACACAATTCTCCCAGTAAAATATTTTCTTAAACCCAAAATTGTTTTCCACTTTTTAACCACATTCTTCGAAAAAATTCACTTTTTACAAAATCTGTTCTCAAGAAATGTGGCTCAAACAGTGGCTAAAGCATACAATTGCGGTCACTGGTCAGAAGGGGTCTAGATTTGTATTTCTGACACTTGCATCTGTAATCTTTGTAGTAAATAATCTTTGTGAGTATTTGTAGAAAATATCGATATATGTTGTATTTGCTTCTTTGCGAGTGTAAATACAATGAAATCTGTGCTAGTGGACAGCTCAACGGATGCATACTGAAGACAAAGGATTCCTGATTTGAAATAAACAACTCATTCTTGCTTAGGATTCATTTAACATTCCATCTGGTGCTTTACTATTTGGGGAGGACTTGTTCGTGCTTCACTAATCAGACAAAAAATATTTATATCGGTTCCTGCTACTTATGTGACAGATGGATAACGCTCTTATTGATGATCGAAGGATTCACGTTGATTTTAGTCAAAGTGTTGCAAAACTATGGTCTCAGTATAGACGCAAAGGCCAGGCGGGTAAAGGTGGGTATCTCTTTTTGTAACATATGAACTGTACTCTAGGTTGTTGGCAATAATTAGTAGATCACAGTCTAAGACCCCATATAATAAAAATAAAGAATCACTGACCTAGATAACTATAATGTTGTATTTGTTCCATCCTTTGTCTCTCCCTTTTGCCTCATCTGATGTTGGTAGCTACACGGGATTGGGGTTGCTGTGTTATCTCGAAAAATTTCTGTGCCTGCAAAACTGCATTCTTATGTGGATTTTTTCTTCAAAAATGCCAAGACAACAACAGACAGTGTTTTGGACAAATTTAAATTACATCTGAGTCCACTCCTGTCTAGTATCTGTTCTCTTTCTTACCTCTTTCACACTTCAGGACTCTACTAGTATTCACGATAGTGTTACCTCTTACAGTCTATAAGTTGGAGAAAGGAATGAGGATGTTTGAGGTTGGTGGAGAAATTTGGATTCTCCTATAATAACAATCTTCATAAGAAGTCTATTTTTTTTCCTTCTGAAATTTAACTATTAACCTGAAAGAGATATGGGTTTTATAGTTTACATCTAGAATTAGCACCATGTTGTGATTGAGTGAGATCCTAAAATAATTATTCATTGCAGGAGGAGGTTGCTTCAAATGTGGTTCTCTTGATCACATTGCTAAAGACTGCACTGGGGATCCCACCATCAAGCAGCAACATTCCAAGTATATATTGAAGGATGATAACACTCAACGCGGTGGAGATGATAATACAAGGTTGGTAACTACTAGAAATGTCTCTCCGTATTTATTCATTTATCTAATCTCTCGTGATTATCTGTTCAAGGTTTGAAATGGTATTTGATGAAGATCCTACTGGAAGTCCCAGACAAAGTAAGACAAGAAGAGACCATAAAGCTGAAAATCATGACCAGAAACAACGTATGAAACGGGGAAATTCTTCTGACCGCAAAGATCAGTATGACAGAAGGGATTCACATGACTTGCATAGGAGGGAAAGATCCAAAGATCACAAGGAAGATGAGAGGCATCTACGGCGTCGAATGAGCCCATATGGAGGAAGAGAGAGAGATTATCCAGCAAAAGAGGCATTGGATCGTGGAAGAAAAGCTGATGGCGCTGGCAGCAGGAACAGGGCAGATGAGGAAGAGTATAAGAAAAGACGCTCTGATGATGCTGGCCATAAAGATAAGGGGGAGAAGCGAGACTATGAAAAGAGCCATGCAGATGCTGGTCATAGATACAAGCGGGATGAGAGAGAGAGCAAAGAAAGGCATGTAGATATTGAACGTGGGGACAGGAATGATGAGAGAGATTCTAAAAGGAGGAGTACTGATGATTATCTTCGGGGGAGTCTCCGGGACGAAGTGAGCCATGATAACAGTAGACAGGCCATCAGAGAAGGGTCAAATAACAGAATGATGCATGATGGTCACAAACGAAGAGGTGAAGAACGGTTTGCCGATACAAGAAGTTCTAAAGATGACCGCATCCGAGACCGTGATCGTGACCGTGACCGTGACCGTGGCAGAAGGAACTGAATTTATTCAACGATTTGATCTAATATAGACTTGGTTGGACTGATGTAGTGATGTGATGTTTGATTCTAGGCACATAACTTAATGATTCTACCCACTTGCCTTGTCCAGAAGATCTCATTGGGGAAAGGGAGAGCTGAAGATAAGTTAAGAAAGCAGTACAAATAGTGAAACTTGTTTCTGCTTCAGGATCTCTTGAAATTCTTGAGTTCCAGTAACTGAAAACAGAACGGATGAAAATTTGAAAATCACAATGATCCTTCTAGCATTTGTAGGTTAGGTTCCTTTTCAGGTCATGGATTTACATCATCGCACGTTCTATTCCAATGTTTGCATGTTTTATGTATGGGATGAGTGAATCTACTTGGTAATTCTGGTTTTGACATCTGATAAGAATTTTATTGATAATGAACTAACTTGTTAATACTTAATACCGATCAAGTTTTTGCGGATTCAGATTTGCAGCCTATGTCACAACTCACGTGAAGACCATGAATGCTTCACAATTTTTGTTTTTCAATGGGAAATTCATGGATTCATTTATTTGGTGACTTGCATTAATCGTTAACAATTCTCGTTTCTTTTCTTTGGGTAAGGATGTCCTGTTTAACTCATCCTTTTCATTGACTTTGTGCCTTGCATTGGATGTTCCGTTGTTGTGAAGATGAATTTAATCTTTGGAATCTGGGTCCTAGATTTTGAGGAGATATACTGTCTAATGTACTGTCGTTTGCCTAAATCTCCGCCTCCTGTTTGCAGTTCTATACTGTTGCGATGGATGCTAAGGAGTTGCACATGATTGCATGGGATGCTTTAAATTAACTTTTTTTTCTACACATGGTTAATGTATGAAGTTTATGGAAGTTCTATGGATTGGAACGCACTGATGTTTTAAAATACTAGGCTATAATGTTCGTCAAGATATTAGGCAATTCAGTTACCTATTTTGTTTCGTCCTTCATGCTTTTCTCGAAGAAGTTGGTTTTATCTGCACAACCTTTGGGCCATTCCCTTTATTTTACTATGCTGATCTCGCTAATGGTCTGGCTGGCTTGCCAGTGATGTTACTATTGTAGGTTTTGTGGCATCTCTGAGTTGTATTTGATTTGACAGATTTTGAATTTGCTTAAACACAAAGTGCTTTATATTTGCTTTGAAGCTAAGCTATGTCATTAATATGCTAAAATAGCAATGCTGTGGCCAGCTGGTGAGTGGTCATTGCTGTTTACTTGTATTAGAACATTAACATAATTAGGTTCCTAATTCTGCCTGCCTACCCAAAAATAGGAAAAGTGTAACCAGTGGATATTATTAATTTTCCTGTTGAGTAATCAACGTGTGCTTCCCTCACCCAAAAGAAAAAAAATAAAAATGATTAGGAAGTCAAGATCTAGGCTTTGAGATAGATTGAGTCATGTTAGTATAGATTAAAGAAGGTAGGTTAGATTTCACAATTTTGTCGAGCTGTAAATGATTATTTTTAAATTTAGCATAATCGTATTTTGTGTCAGTGGTTAAGGAAAGACAGAAGATAGGCCTTGTTTGTTTCAAATTAAAATCAAATTTTAATCTAAATCAAGGTCAAACAATCAATATTAACCACATCTTTCATGAGTTCCACAACTTTTCAATCACACATTTCAAAAATTTCAATCACAATCTCCCGAAAATCTAATTTTAATCACCACCAAATACCCACGTAAAGTGTCATTTAGAACGATTGGTTTTAGAAGGTGGGTTTCTAAGTTCATTACCCATTCTCATCATGACTCAGGATTCAACCTTAGACGGCTAGTAAATTTTACTTTTCCTTCTGCCTTGGAATTGTCCTCTTGCGTGAATTTGGTCGACAGAACATGGTTGTTTATTTTCCTAGGCACAATTTGGTCGACAGAACATGGTTGTTTATTTTCTAGGTGCCTAGGTTACATGGTCAAAAGCTCACTGCCAACTGGTGCTGCCATTAATTGCTCTTATCTTGTACTCCGCATTCCCCTTGGATGAACAAAAAAAGATTTTACGAGGGCTTGGATTAATGTCACATAGACTGCTGTTCATCGACGATACTTACATATATCATAACTTTTTCTAAAATGAGCACGAGGAATCCATGTTATAATGCTAGTTTTGTTTACCATTTTTTTTTCCAATTTGTTGACTTAGAGTCGACCTAGAGTCGACCTCATCCTCGATAGTCTATCCTAGGTTTCACATTCAATTGGTCAATGATGCCATTTAATCTTTACATGGCCTTAGATGCACACTATTCATGTTCTCGATCTTTAAGTGAAGTTAGATATGTATGATATACATGGAAAGACATGTTGTTTAAGTTGATGCGGCTGAATCATAGGCACCAATTATTGAAGGTCAGGCCAACATAGATCTAAAGGGGTCGGCGTGTGTGATTCTAAGTAAAATGTGATTGCAAAAAGAAAAGCATGTGGAAGGCTGAACACTGACAAAATATACACGTGCACGCTTTTTGTCTCTTAACCAATAAAAGCACTCGCAGCCATTCAAGTGTGAAGTGTCCATATTCATTTAATTACAAACAAATATATTTTTTTGTCTTAAATAATTTGATCTTTTAAATTGAATAAATGTTCGTTATATCTAGCTCGTTTTGGAACACAAACTCCTAATGAGGAGATCAATGAAATTTGAAAACTCTAGTGAATTTCACAAGCCAACTTTAAACTTCATTCAATACTTGAGTTAATTACAATGTTTATCGTCTTTACATATAAATGATTGTATTAATATTACAAATAGAGTTGAGCCAAGTAACATTGCAAAGGCATAATGATAGTCGGGTCGGGATATCCCCGCCCTCCGCACCGGACGTGAAGGTCTCCCCTCGTCCGGCTCTCTGCAGGGGAATCCCCACTCACTGCAATAATGATAGTAGGGTCGGGATATCCTGCTCTCCGAACTGGACGTGAAGGTCTCCTAGTCAATGAAGATTCTTATTCTCCCAAAACCTTTCTCAGCTATGAGAGACGACATAAGATGGATTGATGATGATGGCACATGAATTAGATCGGCATATAATCAAAACATATTAATATAATCAAAACAACCTTTATTGATTAAACGATAATATGCATATTCCAATCAACGAAATTGTTCTCCTGCCCATAGTGGATAAGATAATATTGTCCACTTACTTGTTGATGTGGGTGGAGAACCTCACGGTTCTCTTCAAATGTGAGAATTGTGGGTAAGATTCTCTCTAAGTGGGTAAGATAAGACTTTTCACTGCGGGCAAGACAACATTTCTGTTCCAATAAAAAGATGGTATAGTAGATACATAGACAGAGGCACCTGAAGAGATTAACTTTACATCCTATCATTGATCTTATCTTCAGACAGGTGTGATATATATGCATTCAGATAATGTTCCTCCATAGCATTATTCCACTTTGAATTAGTATTGTCATCTGAAAAGGTAGAATATCAATTCAGATGCATAAGTTTTTAGGACAGTCCATTTTACGTTACCATATTAGCTGTCGTGAAAAGCCTTTCACGACTGCCTTTTGTCGTTATGAAAACTCTAATTCCATGTAAGACAAATCATGTTCGACATAAATGATTTTAAAATATTAGACACTAATGAGTGAAACAAAGGAAGTTAAAGTGTCTAATTCCGTCATATTGAGCATCACTTAACATGATGATTTGTAAGATAATTGTCGACATAAGGCCTGAATGATTAGTTTGAGGTGAATTCCTGGTCTGATCCTCTATCCTATCAGCTAGAATTTTTGAGAAAAGTGATTGTATCTCACTATATATTTTGTGGGTCTCGTATATAATCAATTATCCAAGAGGAAAAAATGATGTAGAGCATGAGGTTACGTCTACTTTGTAATTCGATGTAAGACCCAATCGAATAGTGCTTGTGGTAGATTTTCAGATGTAAGACGAATCGAATAGTGCTTGTGGTGGATTTCCAGTCTCAACTGTAACTTCTAAGAAAAGTAATTACATTTTTTACATCGTACTACGTACCAGACACGCAACCACTAATTTTCAAGATTTTCCAAGATTCAAGAATTACCCTCAAAACTTGTTTTTTTTTCTTTAATTTACCAGGGCTAATAATGTTGTCCAACATTCTTGAGAGAGAGATTCGTGTACAGAACCCTGATGATATAATTGATTGTGGATACCCCACCAAAAGAAGATGGCATGTTTATGTCATTTAAAATATTTGGGTTGTAAGTGGGTCACAAATTCCAAGCACCGAAAAACAATGACTTTGTACCAACTTTTTTTTTCTTCCAATTTGCACTGAGTATATATCAAGATATCTCTCCCCTCAATCTTCTTCCAAAAACAAAAGGAAAAACCCAGAGAAACACGAACTTAAGATCCATGAAGAAGATCAATTTGATACTGAGGAAATGCAAGACATTGTCAAGGCAACTCACAAGAACATCATCGTACAGTAGCTTGCGGTCCAAGTCAACTAAAGAAGAAAAATGGGGTTCTGCAACTGACATGCAAGATCATGATTATGAAACAATTTTTGTGGGGAGTACAAGAAAAAGATATATGATAAGTACCAAGTACTTAAATCATCCTCTATTGAATGCTCTCATTGAAAAATCGAAGCAGAACCCAGACGGAAATCTCTCTGTCAAATGTGAGGTGGTTCTGTTCGATCATCTTCTGTGGATGCTTGATAATGCTGAACCTAATCTCACTTCTGATTCTTTGGAGGAATTGGCAGAACTCTATGTCTTCTAAACCCTAGTAAGAATTTATGTATGGACTTTGTATCGATCGAGTCAATCTGAGAAAAGTTTTCTCGAGTTGATTACGAATGTGTATTGTAGGAGAATTATCATGTATTTGTTGGTTAATGTTAGATTGTGGCTATGAATCTTGGAAAAATTTCACAAGATTTTTCAGTCACATTATTATGTGCATTTCTGTTTTGTGATTATCAATTCTTTTTTTAACCTGGACTGAAGAATAAACTCACGGGTCATGATTTTAATTTTATTTTAATGAGGAAAAAAACCCGCTACGAATCACAATCCGTGTCTAGAGGGGTGGAGCCTGGATTTTAACTCGATGGGGGCAGCGGTACTTCACTGCTTGCTTACATTTTGAAGAAGATATAGTAGTATATAATGCTTATTTTTTCTCGAACTTGGGGATAACTCGAATGCATGTCCGGTGTCCCCCAATAAGAGTTACAAAGTCAAAGAAAAACAATGTATTTGCTGCTAAATTAAAACCAAAGTGAACACCCTTGAGATAATCACACTCAATCAATAAATTCTAAAATTGGTTCTTGAGCTGATGTGAGATTGTTGTTTTTGGAGTATCGTATTCTCCTTCAAACAATCTGAAGATTTCAGGAATGGAGAGTAACGGGATGATTTAAAGGATTAGGATAACAAATTGAGCCAACCGCCATCACGATGTGCTCTTAAGACGATTTTTTATTTCTTTTGGGGTGCTAAAGGTAGTCAACAATCGACAGGAATGGAGAGTAACGGGATGATTAAAAGGATTAGGATATCAATTTGAGCCTACCGCCTTCACGATGTGCTCTTAAGACGATTTTTTTTTTCTTTTGGGGTGCTAAAGGTAGTCAACAATCGTATCTCAATATGAAACGAATTTTCTCTTACGAAACCAACACAACAATTAATAAGAGTTTCAACGAACTCAATAAAGTGTTCGGTAGCAAGATAGCTTATTTACAAATTTATTCATGGACATTTAACGGACAACTCTTCGATCATAGACGGTCAAAGCCTAGTACTCAAGAATTTGATTAGCGACGAGGCGCACGTTTATGAGCTTATGACCGAACCAATAGGATCTAGGTCTCCCCTTCCAAAAGCTAATAGTACTCCTAGGTACCCAAACCCAATTATCAAACTTTTATCATATAAACCAAACAAATTTTTCTAAGGTTTCCTACGTGGAATAATAGTATAACAATTCAACCAAATTCTTCACATTTCCAAGTAACTTAGGGGCCGTTTTCTTTGTGTTTCAGTTTTGTGTTTTGAGTTTTGAATTCATTTTGTGTTTTGTGTTTTAAGTGTCTGTTTTGAAATTTCTGAAAATGCGTTCTTTTTACTATTCTGAAAAACTGTTTCTGAAAACATAAAAATGGAAAACGCGTTTACTTTGAAATTTTGAGAATTTTTTTAATAATATTTTATTCAAGAAATCAGATTATTCAATAAGTTTTAATAATTTAATGTTAATATAGTATTAAATAACATATAAATTTTGAAGTTGGTGAATCTTGAAATATTTTTTTTCCAACTATAAAAAATATAACCTAAATTAAATTTGACAAATCCTTACTTTTATCCTTGTATGTAACTTGTGACAATAATAATTAGCATTAAGTCACAATCAAACCTAATCAAGTTGCAAAAAAAGGAGCACTAATCTCATATTGACATGTTAATAAATATTTTGAAATCAATTTTATCGAGTTCATGTTAGTTCTCACAATTCTTGTCAAATACAATTTTGATCGTCTAAACACGATGAATATCATAAGTGATAATAAATAACATTAGTCATTGATTATAGATAAACTACTT